TTCTTCTTTCGGCTGCTCCCTTTTAGGGGTCGCCACAGCGAACTAAGTCGCACAAAGACTTGGCAGTTATTTTTATGCCGGATGCCCTTCCTGACGCAACAACAGACCACCGAGCTACCACAGCCCTCTGTGTGGAGCAGAGAGCTGCTATCTAGGACACCTGGAGGAGCAGATGGTGGGGGTTAAGTGCCTTGCTCAAGGGCCCAGAGTGGGACGAATGAGGGTGGGGGCAGGTGTGGGAGCTTCACCTACCCCACCCACATTTTTGATGTTGTCGGTACTGGGGCTTGACATCTGGATATATTGTGTCACTGAAGTGTATTTATTTTTGGCCACTTTCATTGACTTCAGTTCAGCTAGGTTCAGCTATTCTACATTTTTTGCTATATATTTTTTTAATTTTATTTAATAAGAAATTGTGTATGACTTGGCAAGTTAGAGATATTTGTGTTAAATGAGGTACATAATGTAATTTCTGTTTAAAACAGGGTTTTACGTTGAAATGTCACTGCTTTCACTGCAAGGAAATAAAACTCAAATGTTATTATTTGAATGACACATGTATGTTCTGTTTATTGCATTGATGACTTAAAGCAGCAAAATAAATCAATTTAAAAGGTGGCAGATCATTGTTATTCTGGCTTTATTTATGAAATGACAATAATTGCTGGCAGTCTGTCCCCTGAGCTGCTGGCTTTCTATTAAAAGCCATGGTCCTCTGATCAGTTTAGTCAAATTTTCACTGGCATATGGGTTATGGAAATTGTCAATAAATTATGTAACTTACATATGAGGTTTAAGGATCAGAACAGTTTCCTTTACTTGTATGTCCTCCCTCAAAAAAAAAACCTTGACTACCCTTGCATAAAAGTTAGCTCTACCACAGTTTAAAGGTAAATTACAATAAACTGCTTCTATTAAACTACACATGAAAAAGTCATCAAGTTTGCAGTCATGTGCTGCCCTTACATTTGTTCACATGCACTCATTTATGCACAGAAACACAGAGCCAAAGTGCAAACCCACAATGAGAAACTGCCTGATGCTCTCCGAGGCATCACTTTATATACTATTTTCATATTTAGGGTCACAAAGGATAAAGGCCCCTCTGGTGCGCAGTAGGTGTTGCAGAAAAAATATTTTATATGAGAATCTAATTGCATTTTGTGGCCCTGAGCACCCTACAAGACAATCCGCAATTCTGGTTTAATGGCTCCTTGCTGAACATTTGGATAGCAAAGGCACACACACACACACACACAAGCACGGATCCAGTTTATGGAATCAACATTTGTGAAGTGCTCCCATAACAATGTTTGCAGTCTGTCTGTCAAATGTGTCTCAGAAGTCTACTGATTAGGATAATGTTTCCCCAAATGCATATACCTGGATTCGTTTTTGATTCTAAACTAAACAAATTTCTGAAAAAATGTGTAAAGATTAAACACGAGCACATACAAACCTACAGATTCTATATAAAATAAAAGCCTCATTGAAAATGTCAGTAAATGAGAATAAATTAGTAAGGAACGTTTGTGTTTGTGAATAAAAAATAAAGGCTGTAAAAGGCTAGCTTCGAGAAGTAGCACACACAAATGCACCCCCCCCCCCCCCAAAAAAAAGAAAAAAGAAGACTAAATCGTTTTTAGGGAAAATGCAGCATTGAAAAACGCTGAGATTAAACATCGCCCTCCGCTGATGGCCTTATTGAAAACCATCGGTGCCAAAGTTGTCTAATCCAAACGACACACCAAATCAATATCCAGCTCAAAATCCAGCACCTACCACTCTAATGAGGGTTTAACCCACTCGAACAAAAATGTGCACGAGCTTTAACGGCTACCAAACATTTGCCAAGCTTCTGCTTTTAATAGGAGAAGCAAAATAATCATCAGGGCACCGGCTGGCGTTAGTTTTGTTTTAGTGTCTGTCAGTATGAGCCGATGGGCATAAGGAAAAAAGCTGGGACAGCGTTATCTTTCAATAGGACACAAACAGATGGTCACATTGTCAAATAAATATTCTAAAGGTTAAGCAAAAAAAATTAAAGGCTTCAGCTAACAGCGAAGCTAAAGTCTGTCTGTGTTGAAAACTACTACAGGGCTGCTGGTCCTCAGAAATCCCTTTAAGATGACCCAGTATGGCAGTGTGCATTGGTGATGCACAGTCACAGGGTGGGCTCAGCACCGCGCACAACTCTAATATGGTTTTCTGCTGGCGCATTGCCAGCATTTACATATGAATAAATATGAGGAGAAAAATCAAATAAATAAAGGAGACAGCAGGGAGAAAATAATCCTGTTAAAGATCAAACAGTAGGCTCCCTTTCCCTCCTTCTGCTGTTCTCCTTTGCTTCATTTTTTCTCCAATTTAAACGTATATTCCTTTGCTCATCTGCACTGAGCCCATCAGCATCAGCTGAGCCTTTTCCTCACTTTTCCCACCTGTCTTGCAGCCAACTATATCTTTATTGTCAATGTTAATTTCTGCTGCTCCTCTGCCTCTTTCCTGCCATCTTTTCTCACGCAGCCCCACTTCCACCATTTCATTTTGATTTTCATGGCCAGCCATATCTTTAATCTTGCTCCTCTTCCTTTTGCTCCGTCCAACGCTGGCTGCTTACTGGCCTCACTCCCTCCATCTCCATCTCCATTTTCATCTTCGTGTCTGTCTCTCTCTCCCTTCAGTGCAGAACAAAATGGGGATTAACGAAAGGAGGAAAATATGTCAGACTGTCTGATGCACAGCCCAAAAGATACATTTTTTTTAAACAAAACACACAAAGCTATACTCAAACTGCATAAAAAGTAAATGAAGCATGCTTTTTTTCTCTATCATCAAGAATTTTGTGTGTGACTTTCCTCTCCCTTCTTTCTCATTTTCATGCTATCATTGTAGGATATTCAGAAGATACCCCGGCGTCTCATTTCCTCCCCAAGTTTAAATCCTGACAACTTATGGCCACTCGCTGCTCACATGCCACTCATAGAGCTGCGATAAGCCCCACAGGAAATTGACTTAAATTTTAGCTCTCCTACATCACATTCTTCTGCCACCCATCATGCCCTTGGTTAGAGGTCAGGCTGCTTCCACTAATCTCACATGCAAATTTGTGCATGTTACCGTGTGAATGTGGGGGGTGATGTATGAAGCGTATCCATAATTCATGGCCCATTACCATTGACAAGTTACACAACGTCTGAGCAGAACTTCGCACTGATACTGGCTCTCTTGCTGCACTTTGTGCTGGGCTAAATGTGGAAGAAGCCTTAAAAGAACTTATATGTATTGAGTGTGCAGTAAAAATGAAAGAATAGAAGCAGGCCACATGCTGTAGAAAATATTTAATATTGCCTTTGTTTCTATAAATCCCCATATTGTTACAGCGTGAGCTGTTGCAGGCCCCGAGCTGCTGCAGCTAGCTGTGGGCCTCCGGCCTCATCTTGGACCCCAAGCCCATCTCCAACTCACGTGGCTCCTGGATCAGACCCCCTCAGAAGTAGTAACTCACACAATAAATCAAGGAAACATAAATTAAAGTTTACCAATTGTATTAAATCAAGGCAGGAAAATTTTTCAGTTTACAGCACTGGCTTCTCCGATACAATTTGACACACGATCTTGGACCGGAAGGGGCAAATGACACATTGCTTTGCAAGTGTATGAGGTTTAGGCTCCGCCTTCACATCCAGGAGCATCGTCTATCACTTGGATAAGAAAGGGCGAACTAAGTGCGATCTCAATGGATCTTATGTGGTCTGACGTGTCAGGAAAAAATGATACGGTGTAGAAAAAAGCCTCTCTTGTGTGATTTGGTGAGCCAATAAAGAAAGAAAGAAATAAAAACTATTCCTTTATGGATACTGGATCCCTGGGAGACTCTTTTTAGAGTTGCTGGTCCTAATAAACCAGCCAGAACCGGATCATAATTTCATTACAATCCATCTCTGAGCAGATCAAAAACTCAGGGTCAGTCTAGATAAAATACAAACATATGTAATCGTGCATACAATATTATCCATGTACAGTCAGTGTTGTCATATGCATCCAATTTGATCAAAATATTAAACATGCCAATGTTTTGATAAAGATGATTCCTTTCCTCAATTAAAAATATAAATAAAATACCTTTGTATCTATTTTTGACTCTACAGTCAGCCTCACATATCCACATTTGCTTTCTCATCAAGGTCCACATGCCTGTGTGCTGTTTATTTGAGCTATATATTCATCTAAGCCTTTTTTGTTATTTTCAGCCCAGTTGGTGCTTTCAAGGCATTTCCCTGGAGTTTTTTTTTTATGCAGCAAGCACAGCAGCAAGGCAAACACAGCAGGGGGGAACTAGGCTCATGTGACTCCTTTTTTACTGGTGAGGATGAGGCAAAAAAAAAACAAAAACTGACAGACTGGCAAACACGTCCAGGACTCCAGTTAAGATGACAGGAAAACTCCTGTGAGGCAGTTGCAAATATGCTCGCAGGAAGTGGATTACATGAAAGCATATGCCCAGTTAAAACTGATTCTGTGTTCACAACAAAAAGCAGAGCTCTGCTGGTTGGAGTGAAACGACCTGAAATCAAAGACGCAGACATGCTGAAGCCACGAGGCCAGGTTTCGATGGTTAGAGCATGACCTAAAAAGATTCAGAATCAGTTATTGCTTGAAGGCAAGGAATGACAGAAATTGTCCCTCTAACCTTTCATCTGTAATTCCAAATGCAAGTCTGACATTCATGTGCATTTCAGTAGCGAGTCTTGACCTTCCTCACTTGCCACATTAATAAATGAAAACAATGAATATTTCAGCTGTGAAAGCAAGGATTGGGGTTGAGGAGGGAATGCAACTTTAGTTTCAGCATCTCCCTCTCAAGGGTGCGACACCACAACCCCAATCCCATCCAACACTGAGGCCCATAAACATTTTACTAATTTTCTAATGCTCCTTTTTATGATGCTTCATCTTCAATTGTTACTCAAGTGGAGATGAATCCTACCTTCACCCCCACCCCCGAGTCTTTCGCTGTTCTCGTCGCTCAGCCTAATCAGTTAACGCTACTGTCAACTTTGCTCAATTGTAATTTTTGCGGTGCATGTGTGATTCTCGAACCATGAATCTGACTCACTTCCTGTATCCCAGCAACAACAGAATTCTTACAACATCAGCAGCAGCATCACATTTTAGTGATGATTGTAGATTGTATTAAAAAGATAGTTCAGATCTTCTTAAGCATGACTCTATAAAAAAGTTACAATTTATTTAATAAAATATACATTCTGGTAGATTTGCTGACAGAATATCAGTAATTATGTTTTTATTTTTCTACTTGTTAATGCACTTTAAAAAATGTTACACAGTATTCCCTCGCTTTGTCGTGACTCGACTTTTGCAAACTCGCTCTATCGTGGTTTGTGGATGTACAGTCCATAATATTGTACAAAAAAATAAAAATTGTAGAGGACACGATTGTCAACTTTAATATTACTCACGTGATTGGGACAGCACTGGATACAGTACTGTATAGTAAAAAGTTAAGGAAAAAATAAAATACTTTGGACAGGTGCTGCCATTTTGTAGTTTTCTCTCAGTAAGCCTACACTGTATTCCCGCTCATAATGACTACATTTTCCAAAAGTCAACAGGGCTCCACCCAGATGCCCCGTTTCCTTCTGCTGAAAAAAAAAAAAAAAAATGTGGTAAAGTTTTGATATGATTGGTTCCCAGTAGATGCAGAGAAGCTTCACTGAACCCATCAAACTGGACCAGAACCAGAGCAGAACCAGGCCTCCAGACCCATCGGTGAATCTTGAGCGCTGCCACCCGGCCCACGAGGACCTCTAAGCACGGGTGCACGTTGAAAGCTCTGGAGCTGTTTCCGTAGCCCGTCGGGACTTTTTTCATCAGACTTTGACTCAATCCACCACCTACTGTCCCACACTAGCCAACAGAAGGTCACCCCCACACCCAAATGCACTTGACGCTCAAGAGTTGCAACGGACCGGACCAAAACTGGACCTCCAGGCTCAGCAGTGAACACCAGAGCTCCTATCTGGCCAACTAGAACCTCTAAGCTAGGACGCCTTTGTAAATAAAAATTAGTAGCTACAAGTATGTTGTTAAAATGAGGTATACGAGTTAACTGATTGTGGGCTTTGTTGCTGCAGGTTAGGTTTGCAGAAATGAACTGGGTCAGACCAGAACTGAGAGATTTTACTTACTGGCTTGTGTTGCTGTGCTCTGCAGAGCTAGTACCAGTAAGTGAACTTTAGTAGCTACAGTACATATAAAAGTATGTTGTTAAATATTAGAAGGTTGATTGTGAGCTTCATCACTGCAAGGTTGTCTGCAGAAACAGAACAGAGTCGGACAAGAACTGAGAGCTGTTGCTGTGTTCTGCAGAGCTGCTGAATAAAGTTTAGTGCAGTAATGTACATATGTTCTTAAAATGACAGGTTTAAGTGTTTATAACATTGCAAAAGCATGGGAAGGGTTTCTAAAGCATTAAGATATATATATAAATGCTAAAATAAATGTAATGTCACTACTTGGCGGAATTTCACTTATTGTGGGCGGGTTCAGAACTGAACCCCAGCAATAAACAAGGGACTACTGTATATTCATATGTGGTCAGTCAAGTCTGACAATACTTCCTAAAGAAAACATTTTTCAACTTTTATTTATACAGATTAGTCTGGTTAAAAAAAACATTTACTTTGACCTGTTCAGTTGAAATAAAGTTCTAGCCTTCCTTAAAGGAATGTGTATTGCTCACAAGATTTCATGCTAAAGTTTTAAATCAAAAGCATCTATTAGGAAACGAGAAAGTTATTGCTGTTAGTTCAAATGGTACAAACATGTTTTGTGAAGTGTCACTCTGAGTACATCTTGATGACCATCTACTACTATAACAATTTCAGCTCAATATCTGTAAAAGTGATGAAATCACAGTCATTTCCTGTTTGTTAAGGTTGATTAGCTGTGGCAGCCACATTGAAATGAGATGACTTTAAAAGTTGGTCAGTTATAGATATACAAAGTACATCCAGTACTTACTTTCTGTAAATTTCTTCACAGTCAGACAGAACCCCCCCCCCCCACACACACACACACACACACACACACACACACACACACACACACTAGGGCGAATATATTTTCATCTCTTTCATCACTGTATTATAATGAATCAAACTCAACCTTTACAAATAAACAAATCCATCCTCAAAATTCATGGTGATCAAGTCTAAACATAAAACCTGAGAAGAACAGAATGATTTTATTTTTAATAAAGAAAGTAGTGTGGATTTTTCCCATATTTTCAGATGTTTATTCAACAAATCGTTTTATTAGTGCAAATTCTCTAATATCGAAGGCAGAATGTTTACTCACAGCACGAGTTTATTAGCTTTTCTATACTTCAGCTTGAAAAAACTTTTAGCTAACGGATTTGTCAAATTCCTAATTGAAGCCAGCACAGTTAGGAGGTAATTATAATTCCTGCTTTTATCACAGGGAACACTGGAGGACAGGACTATTGGTCTGTTCTGAGAGCCAAGGGTTAGTTAGAATGCTGAAAGGCTGACTGAAACATCAGAAATGTCACTTGATATCTTTGGAGGCAAAAAAAAAATCAGAATTGAACTGAGCAGCAGGTTTAATATGTGATGTTTTTATTTGTTACCAAAGAATCCTTCACGCGTTTAAACATTAAATAATCACTTTCCCTTGATTGTTAATACATGTTCAGTTGTACTGCAGCTGCTGATCATTTTATATACAATAATGTTTTACTTGTTTAAATTCCACCTACATACTTAGCCTCATTAACAGTTAATTCATTAGTGTCGTTCCTGTTACATTATTTTAATTTATTTCATGTGTTAATATCGGCATTCCTCTTATTCAACTCTATCCTCTTTTCTCTGGTCTCCCCCTCCTCTCCTAATCTGCAAGTTGAATTATTCAATCCTACCCTAGCTTTTAATTCTCTTGATTGAACCAATTACCTTCTGACTGGATCAATGTGGGAAAGGTAATGATTTAAATGGCTGCTGCATAAAACCACGTAACTACTTCAACTGGTGCAAAAGGGGAAAGGCGGAGAAGGGGAGGAGGAGGAAAGAGCGAAGGAAGACGGTTTAACAGAGGAAAGGAAATGAATACCCTCTCTTTAACACGACCGTGCATGATTCAGCTTGTACGTTTAAGTGCTTCATTTTGTGTTCGTGGCCCTACCTGCCGTATGCTCCGATGTAAAACCACGCAAGAGAGGCAGACTGTGAAAACCTCATTTTCCTTAGGGATTATCTAAAATGTATGGGCTTCTGTGGAAACTGGGTCAGACTGATCTGAAATGGTGCCATCGTAGCAGAAACCCACTAAGTCAACATCCCTCTGTATTCCACCGTCCCTTGTTCGTTCACCATCTTATCGTTCCCGTGCACCTCGGGTTCATGCAACATGTACAAACTTGTGCATACAGTCACAAACTGTACACGTGCATGCAAAAATGCACACCTTCACCTCATCATTGCAACTTGTCATCTCCTGCTGAGTGAGCTGTCCCATCCGATTTGGCCTACCTCCTTCATCCCACCATCTATTATTGATGTAATGGAGCATTGTATGAGGATGCAGCTCGGCCAGTGACAGGCACTTCAGCCTAGAGGGACACGGGAAAGCAGGCCAGTGGCTGCGAGTGCCTGCTGGCTTGTCTGGAATGACTGGGCAGGTGATTAGCTTGGGCTGCAACATGACCTGACAGGGATATCTCTGGCAAGAAATCTTATTTTTCTTTGTTTTATCTAATTATATTGTCAAATGTGGAATATATAACACTGTTAACCTTGTGAAGCTGTGAAAAACAAAAGCTTCATACAGTGTATCATACCATAGCTATACACCTGCAGTTCATATGGTTTTGTGTGGAGAAGAAAAATGCAATGTATAATCAGAGAAGGAAGAAAATCACACTGTGGAACTTTGACAGAAAACTCTTTTCATTTAGCTAAAAAAAAAATGTTTTACCATGAAAGACTTTTCCCAGTAATGACCTGGTGGTCAGGGACTGTGACCATAAAAGAGCAGAGAAAGAAATTTATTTTGTTGACCGTTAATATTGAAAATAATTAGAAGTCTTAGAAATAAAAACCATAAGAGTCGGTTGTCAGTCTTACTGTACGAAGGTCAGACTATGTGATGCTCAGAAAGACCAAGCAAGTCATGCTAACTTTTTATCTATACTTTCTATGTATCTTAAAATCATGACTGGTAAACTGAGGAATAAACTGAGTGAAACTGCAGCTTGTGTTAGAAAGGGTTGCTGCTTTAAACCTCTTAACTCTGAAAATAACATGGCAGCATAGATAGGTTTGTAAAGTTGTATCTAAATAAGGCAAAACTTCTGCAACAATTTCTAATAGATAACTGAGATTAAAGTGAAGATTTTTTTTCATAATAGCCTGCATTAAAATTTCATAAAAAAAAACCCACATCACAGCGTGTTCAGCACGGCGGTGGAGGTATGATGATGTGGGCTTGATATATTATCAGAGTAAACTGTTCAGTTTTTATGGTGAAATTAATCTGCTCTGTAGATCAGATTTATTCTGTTGTTCGTTTGTCTAACAGCTAAAACCAAACTTAAGTCAGTTAATTCAAACGAGTGTATATATGGATGGCTAAAACAGAAAATATTCTGGATGCTGCAATGGTCCTGTCAAAGTCCAAATTTTGATTACACTGAAATGCTGTGGTACAATTTTAAATCTGTGCATTAACGTCTGCGCACAGACCGGAAGTAGAATGGACTAAATGGTCTTTACAACAATGTAATAGACTTCTGTGGCTTCTCCAAGTTATTGTTGTTGCTCTAAATCAGGGGTGTCAAACTCACTTACAAAAGGGGGCCAAAATTAAAACCTTTTTCAAACTAAGGGCTGGTTTTAGAATCTACATTAACTCAAGTTAGATATCCAACGTAATTTTTTGGTTGCAGGTTTCTCAACAAGAGTTTGATTGGTCTCATTTCACATTCTCTGTTGCACTTTTGACATCATAAACAAAGATGACTGGAAAAAATTAAAGTGATACAAGTATTTTACATTTAAAATAACATCCTGGGGGGCCAGATAAGATGTCAACGAGGGCCGCATTTGGCCCCCGGGCCTTGAGTTGGACACATATGCTCCAAATCACGGGTGCCCAAAGAGTGCGGCCTGAGGGTCATTTGCGACTCTTGGAGTGATTTTGTGCAGCCCACAACTGCAGTTTGAGAATGGTATCAGTTTGACCAGCAGTCTTAAGTGGTTGACACAGACTTTCTGCAAATTCATTGGTAGTCTTTTTCATATAAAGTTTAGGTTTAACAGCAAAACGGATGAAAAACAATCTTCTCCAAATGAGCAACAATGAACAAAATACAAACCTTTGGCTGTAATCATTTTATTTTCACTTCATGGTACAAAGCACCAAAAACCTTTACTGGTTTCTAGCAGAAAGGAGACTTTTGGATAATGATTCATAAAACTTGGCTAAATATTGCAGTTGACAAAATAATCAAGAAGGAAACTGGACATATTAAATGAATATAACGTGGTGTCATCGACATACGAGTTGATCAACTTTATCAAACCTTGTATGAATCTGTTGTAGCGACTGACATCTGGACGATTTTTCAGAACTTTGATCAGTCTTTTGGGCCGCCAATGGTCCAAAAGTCTGATCAACCCCCTTATAAAAGGACACTTATTCAAATTATGCTTTTATTATAGAGAACAAGCTAAAATGAACTTTCCAAACACAAGAAAACAACAAACATGAAACCAACAAAGCAAATAAAA